TAAGTAACAACTTGGGACTTTGACCTCTTCTAAATATTCATGTGTTAAGAGTATACATTGCCACACTAATGTGAAATCTCACATTCCAGTTTGTATTCTGAATGCGTAGTCTTCAATTTTCATAAAAAAGACATTAGATGATTTTAAGATTTATGAACTAATTCATGCCCAACTTTATGATAAATCCAGGTAAGAAACCTTACAGAATACAAAAAAGGATTTGGAGTCCACTGATCACTCAAAATTCCCCAATACCTATATGAAGACTACCAGAAAACTGGTATTTAGATCACTCTGTTGTCCCTTTATGGAAGTGATTTCACTGAGCTGTACTGTAGCATCACATCCTTTGCTAATGCTTAGGTTTACCATGAAATAACTTGACTAAACTAGGAATATACTAATAATATGAACACTAAAGACGTGGTCCACTGTATTATTCACGGTCCCCTTCCAAACCAAATTGCCAAGCATTGCTTTGAGGAATTGGTTACTTGTCCTTATGAACAAAACACCTTAAAAGCTGAAAGCTGACTGTATTTCCCTGTGACCTTTCTGAAGCCCAAAACAAGAGTCCAAGTTTAACATTAAAACACTACAGGACTTACAAATGCCTGCAGTGTTACAACTTTGATCCACTTTCAGTATTTTATCTGTATTTTTCCTGATTCCATTTTAAAACTATTTTCATTTTCTTGACTGATTATATGCATACTTGCATGTATTTAGTTCTCTGGAAGTGAACCTTGTAGTACATAAACACATATTAATGACCATTCTTTTAATTCTTGAGATAACATAGTATGCAAAATATGCAAATGGTACTGAGCTCTCTAAATTGATCTACAAACTAGAAAATATGTAAACAGAAAGCCTCTCATTTTATCGTTTCACATTAAAAGTAATCTCAAAGCTGGATGTTACAGGGGACAAATCACTAGAATCTACTCGAAATCATTATAGCACTATAGGCTAAGTAACTTGTATATAAATTAAAAAAATAAAAATTTAAAAAAATTAAAAAAAAAATAAAAATGAAAAAATAAAAGTAATCTCAAAGTAGAAGAAAGTGTAGTGGGATTATGGCCACTTAAATTGAGTTATAGAAATATACATAAAACTGAGGTTCCGGGGTAGCTAAGTTGGATAAGTGTTGGACTCCGTTTCAGCTCAGGCCATCATCTCATGGTTTATGGGATCAAGCCCTATGTTCGTCTCCTTGCTGACAGCACGAAGCCTGCTTAGGATTCTCTCTCCCCATCTCTCTTGCCCCCCCTTTCCCGCTCACATACCTGCTTTCTCTTTCAAAATAAATAAAAATAAAATAAAATAAAAAAAAGAAATATATGTGAAATAATTATTACATATTACAAAATGCTACCAAATTCTTATTACAATATGAATTATAGGAATTATATTTTTTCAAAAATATTTAAAATTCTACTTACCGTTACCAAATAAATAAGATGATCATTCAAATTGTTAACAAAAACTTCAAGATGAAGTAACAAAAATTTCAGCAAGATTCATAAGAGAGGAAGCCCAGCTTACAAATGGGTGAAAACCAAAAGATCTTGAGAAAATCAATTGATTGGAACTCAGAATCTATATTTTCCCAAAGAAACAATGCTATCCCTAAGTCTTAGATTCTTAGGTACACTATCCTAATCATGAAACTGGGGAAACCACTTCTCTTTCCAGATTGCAGATCTTTATGCATGAAATGACACAAGTATCCACCCTATGTAAATAAAGTTAAAAGGAAACATTATTCTATAAAATGTTAAGCACTATATAAGGTGTTTCCCTATTATTTAATCCTTAATGTAATTGAAATTGATCTATCATGCCTATCTTTTTGAAGCTTCAGCTTTACCAAGTGTCTGAGATAAGGGGAATGCTAGGTTGCAAAGAGGTGTGAGAAAACATGAGTAATTTTTAAAAATATTCCCTTTGATATTTAAATGGAATGTAAATGTAAATGTAAACATACATTTTGTTGAGTAGTATTAAGATTATATAAAACTAAATATATAATATGTAATTTAAATATTCTGGTAACATATTACACTGTACCTTAAGGGTATTATCAATTTAAACCAAAATAAAGCCAGGAAATAATGAATACAGTAACAATCACAAACATCATCATAAAATGGAAACAATAATCATTGTAAAATGGAAACATTTGAACCCTAAGCTCCAGCCACAGTTGTTGTAAGTGCTTTAATGTGTTATTTCTTTCACTTAATCCTAGTAATAACTGTGTGAAAAGCTATTACCACCATTTTACAGAAGAAACCCAGATAAAAAATAATTTACACAAGAACACAGAAATTTCAGTTTCTAAATCAAAGCTAAAGAGCAAAGCAGGCTAGGAATAGTTGATTTAAGACTGGAAATATTCCTATAATCCATTAGAAAAAAATGGATGCCACTTAAAGCAATTGAAAAACATTAAGAAAAACTCCAAAGCTGATTTATCTTATTAACAATCAATGAAAGATATAAGTGGTTTTTCATGCTTGCATTTGTTGAACTTCCACCACGAAAACTGAGACTTTTAGAGTAATCTAGTAGGACATTAAAAAAAAAGAAGAAAAAGCCAGAAGGAACAGTATTGTAAATATGTTTTAAAGTGGATGTCAATAAATTTTCTAAATGTAGTTAAGACTTTACACTTAATATAATTAGCTATAACAATTATAATGAAAACAAATGTAGCAGCTAACATTTACATAGTGTTTATCATGTGGCAGGCACTATTCTCATTCAGTGTAATAATTCACCTAACACTAATAACCCAACTGACTGATATGGAAAATAAGAAAGAACAATGTAAAGTAACTTGCCTAGGTTGACACAGCTAGCAAATAACACAACAGGACTCCAATCCAGGCAATACAGTATGGTTTCAGAGTCTTTGTTCCTTACTAACAAGCTATATGAAAAATTGGAAAAAAAACAAATCTGTGCTCTTAATCAGTAACAATCATTTAACCCAGAACTTTTCTATAGAATGAAAATATACAATTCTGCACCTCTGGGCAAGTGTCCTTTTTGTCTAGCAACAGAATAAAAAAATACATTATCAACCAACATTTAAAATGAGACTAAGTTGGGGTGCCTAGATGGCTCAGTCAGTTGAGTGTCTGACTCTTGATTTTGGCTCAGGTAATGATCTTACAGTTCCTGAGATCAAGACCTGCATCGGGCTATACAATGACAATGCAGAGCCTGCTTGGGATTCTCTCTCTCCCTCTCCGGCTCATGGGTGGTGCTAGCTGCCCTCCCCCCCTTTCTCTCTCAAAATGAATAAACAAGCATTAAAAGATAAAATAAGGGTGACTGGGTGGCTCAGTCGGTGAAGCATCCAATTTTGGCTCAAGTCATGATCTTGTGGTTCATGGGTTTGGGCCCTGCAACAGGCTCCATGCTGACACTGCAAGAGCCTGCTTGGAATTCTGTCTCTCTGCCCCTCCCTCACTGGTGCTCTCTCAAAAAAAAAACTTTAAAAACACAAGTAAAATAAAATGAGAGTAAGTAAATAGTTCGTAAAAAGTGAGGAAGTATGTAATAGATTAGGCACTTTAGAGAAATATTTTACTTCAGTCTTTCTCTGAATATTTTATAAAATGCTTATTACTATGTAGAAATATTTTAAAATGAGACTCTGTCATATAATACACATCACATGATATACATATTTTTAAATAATTTAAATGGAAATTCTCACTAAAGGATTTTTAGATTCTAGTTACCCAAACAGACTTTTGCACATCCCTTATGATTTCATTAGCTGTTCAGACAATAATGCAATAAATTTAAATTTGAAAGATCAGCCATATGAATTGCAATAAACCTAGAAATCATGCCTTTTGAAATTTATACTGTTTTATACTACAACTACTGTGTTTATATCACTAATAAGCCCTTTCAAAACTCTGCTGTCAATCTAAAGGAAAATTAACTACATAAGAGTAGCTTATGTAGGTTTATGTAGATTATGAATCTGCAAACTCCTAACTAACCATAAAAATAAAACCCTAAAGTTCGTCTAAAAGACAGTCTGTTAACAATCACCTACCAATAAAATGAAAATATTTAAAAGCCAAACTGTGGAATAAAAACACTTAACAATCAGGGGTGCCTGGGTGGCTCAGTTGGTTAAGCATCTGACTTTGGCTCAGATCATGATCACACAGTTTGTGAGTTCAAGCCCTGTGTACAGCTTTGTGCTGACAGCTCAGAGTCTCCAGCCAGTTTCAGATTCTGTACCTCCCTCTCTGCCCCTCCCCCACTCACACTCTGTCTCTCTCTCTTCTGCAAAAATAAACATTAAAAAAAAAATTCATTATTCCACCACTGCTTTGCGTACATGCAGAGAAAAGTCAGATGAATTCATAATATAATGTTAAAGAAAGGATGTAGTTTTTGGTCCTTTGACCAAGTCATCCACATTGACAAGTTAAACTTACACTTAATTGATACTTATGTTTTTAAGTAAACAGGTTTCCAAGTCTTTGAAATACAGTAAAATTATTTTACATAAGAGCATCAAGGCCGCCTTTATTTTTTTTGAGGGGCGGACGCAAGGGCAGGCATATGAGAAGGGGAGAGGAGCAGAGGGAGAGAGAATCTTAAGCAGGCTCCTTGCTCAGCATAGGAGCCCAACCCAGGACTCGATCCCACCCATGACCTGGGATCATGACCTGAGACAAAATCAAGAGTTGGATGCTCAACTGATTGGGCCATCCAGGTGACCCAAACCACAATGTCTTCTTCATAATTCTGAAGTCCACAAAGTTGGAAAAACACTGAGTTTTTAATACTTGGTGTAAATGGTCATTCACTTTCCTGCAGATATATTAATGGGTTTTATTACAGGATGTTTCAGATCCAGCTGAAGATCTTAAAATTACACTTTTCTAAAATCTAAAAACATGTGGCCCCAGGAGATTTTGAAAAAGAGACTGTATACATATATTCTAAGTTGTTACCTGATATTCAGAATCCAGTCTAAATGAAGAGTCTCTTGAGTGATAGGTATCATTTAAACTATTTCCTCTGCTTCCAGACATCATCCTAGCACTTAAAGAGCTGGATGGTTGAACAGAAATTCTTCTTGGGATCCTTGAAGGTTTAGACTCCATTCTTAAAGTTTCCTGCAAAATGTAAATTTTGATTAATTGTCTTTGGGAAATCATGGAAGCCTTAGGTTCTTTCTTTCTTTCTTTCTTGGGGAGGGGTGGGGGGTGGGCAGTGAGGGGCAAAGGGAGTGGGAGAAAGAAAATCCCAAGCAGGCTCGACCCTGAGCCTGATGAGGAGCTTGATCTTACGACCCTGAGATTATGACCTGAGCCAAAATAAAGAGTCAGATGTTTAACTGACTAAGCCACCCAGCAGTAATCATCAACTCAAATCAAGAATTAACCATGCAAATTAACTGTATCAGGCATGGGGAATTATGAGACTATCAAAACTCTTCTTCTACAAGGCAGGAGTCTAAAGTCCATCAAAGGCTTCCTATTGCCCATAAAATGAAGCAAGCTGATAAAAGTGGGATGAGGAACTCAGGTTGTTGCCAAAGCTTGGACTCTTTTCCTTAGTAATTTCTCTCCATAGAATCCTACCCAAATTTGTAGGATTTTTCAAAAATGAGAATGACTTCTAAATTTTCTTTACTAAATATTCCTTAACCTACACCAGGAGTCCCAATAGCTATGCATGATCTTTTAACTATGCAGGTATCTCCTACTTTTCAAAAGTCTATGTTATGCTACTTCACCTGTTTTCACTAACCAGAAGAAATCCAAAGAGAATTTTTGCTTTTATAAAAAGAAGGCAATGGGGTGCCTGGGTGGCTCAGTTGGATACACATCTGACTCTTGATTTTGGCTCAGGTCATGATTTCAGGGTCCTGAGATCAAACCCTGTATTGGGCTCTCTATTGGGGTAGAGCCTGGGTGGGATTCTCTCCCTCTCCTGTGATGCATGCACACAGGCACACTCTCTCTCAAAAACAAAAAAAGGTGAAAAGTGAAAAAAAAAATTCAGTATTTGTTTTGCAGCAAGCCATTATAGAGGCAATGTGTACTGAGTAGCAAGTGACAACACCAACCTCCTTTCCCAGGAACTACATTCCTGGTCTTGGCATCAAGTTCCCATAATTTTAAACTGTGTCTATGAGTTTCTGTGCTTTATCTCAATGTATTTTATGCAACCATTAACAAGATGTGGCCTAAGGTGCCAGAAAAGTCTGACAAGAGGTTATTTTTTGGGCTGGGAACATTCAATAGTTTTCTCACATAAACTAATGGGATTTGCTTCTTCTCTTTACACGAATTTCAGCTTACAGTTTCACAGAAATGCTCTATTTTTGGACAGAGGTGGACACCTGTGTCTATATGAACAGAAACATACAACATGTACTCTTCTATGTCTGGTTTTATTTGCTCAATATTGTATTTGTGAGAGTCATTTGTGTCGTTGTATGTAGCTGTTGTAAGTTCACTTTAATTGGATTGTACGGTATTTTACTGTATCAATACACATAATTGATTTTCCTATTCTACTGTGGATGGACACTGAATTGGTTCCAGTTCTAGGCTATTACAAGTAGTACTGCTATAAAGACTTCCAAACATATTTTTTAATATTTATTTTTGAGAGAGAGAGACAGACAGACAGATAGACAGTGTGAGCAAGGAAAGGGTAGAGAGAGAGGGAGACATAGAATCTGAAGCAGGCTCCAGGCTCTGGGCTGTCAGTACAGAGCTTGATGTGGGGCTCAAACCCACAAACCGTGAGATCATGACCCAAGCCAAAGTTGGATGCTTAACTGACTGAGCCACCCAGGCGCCCCTCACATTATTTTTATAAATTAATAAACTTTAAAAATTTTCTGGGGAAAGGATTTAGAAATCTAAATCCTCATTTAGAAATGAGGCCACTAGATAACTGAGAAACCACCAGTCTTGAGAGGAGAAAGAAGAGAAGGGCAAAAGAAAGTCGCAAATAAGAAATAATAATCTCAACTTTTCCCTCACTTTCAATGTCAAAAATTCCCTTATTGTTCTGGTAATGGATTCAAATTAAAGCAACTATAAACAGATGCACTTCACTTTCCTGACATGCTGCTTGCATTTAAAGAATCTGCTTTACCAAAATATTCAAATTTAAACATTTAAAGTAAAAATACCTAATTTATTTTTGGCATGTAACCTTATTAACTTACCTACCTTGGATCAATCACAACTTTCTACCTTAAAAGTTACTACAAAAGAACTATCAACAATAGCCAAAGTATGGAAAGAGCCCAAATATCCATCAATGAATGAATGGATAAAGATGTGCTATATATATACACAATGGAGTATTACTCGGCAATCAAAAAGAATGAAATCTTGCCATTTGCAACTACATGGATGGAACTGGAGGGTATTATGCTAAGTGAAATTAGAGAAACACAAAAATCATATGACTTCACTCATAGGAGGACTTTAAGAGACAAAACAGATGAACATAGGGAAGGGAAACAATAATATAAAAACAGGGAGGGGGACAAAGCATAAGAGACTCATAAATATGGAGAACAGAGAATTGGGAGGGTGGGTGTAGGACGGTGGATGGGCTAAATGGGTAAGGGGCACTAAGGAATCTACTCCTGAAATCATTGTAGCACTATATGCTAACTAATTTGGATGTAAATTTTGTTTTTTTTTTTTTATTTTTTTTTCAACGTTTTTATTTATTTTTGGGACAGAGAGAGACAGAGCATGAACGGGGGAGGGGCAGAGAGAGAGGGAGACACAGAATCGGAAACAGGCTCCAGGCTCTGAGCCATCAGCCCAGAGCCCGACGCGGGGCTCGAACTCCCGGACCGCGAGATCGTGACCTGGCTGAAGTCGGACGCTTAACCAACTGCGCCACCCATGCGCCCCTTGGATGTAAATTTTAAAAAATAAGGGGCGCCTGGGTGGCTCAGTCAGTTAAGCGTCCGACTTCGGCTCAAGTCATGAACTCGCAGTTTGTGAGTTCAAGCCCCGCATCGGGCTCTGTGCTGACGGCTCGGAGCCTGGAGCCTACTTCGGATTCTGTGTCTCCCTTTCTCTCTGCCCCTCCCCTCCCCTGCTCATGCTCTGTCTCTCAAAAACAAATAAATGTTAAAAAAAATTTTTTTTAAATAAAAAAAATAAAATTAAAAAATAAAAATAAAAGGTAAAAGCACACAGAAAAAAATATTACAAAAGAAATTTCCTTTGCTGATCATATTTACTTTAAAAACATGGTATGAGGCAGTAACAGAAAAGATGAATAGAGGAAAAAACAGTAGGAAATATACAACAAACATGAAAACACAAATGCATGATCAATTAAAATGATTCCACTAAGAGTATCTAGCTAATGAGAAACCACAGTAAAAATTATACTGAGATATGATTAGATCAAAGAAAGCTTATCAAAAAAGGTCAGTTTTGAACTTTCTGTTAAAACATGACAGGTTATCCTAGGGGCACCTGGATGGCTCAGTAGGTTAAGCCTGGACTTTGGCTCAGGTCATGATCTCAAGGTTTGTGAGTTCGAGCACCACATCAGGCTCTGTGCTGACAGCTCAGAGCCTGGAGCCTGCTTCAGATTCTGTGTCTCCCTCTCTTTACCCCTCCCTTGCTCACACATTCTCTCTTTCAAAAATAAATTACTATTAAAAAAAAATGACAGGTTATTCTTATGCATCTATTTACCCCTCTTTCCAAAACCTTTATAAGACAATAATTGAAACCAAAAGATTTAACCATGAAAAAAGAACAGGAAAGGGGGCCACAAAAAGCAAGAGATCTTTTTTAAAATTTTTTTAATGTTTATTTACTTTTGAGAGACAGAGCAAGGGAGGGGCAGAGAGACAGAGAGAGAGAGAGAGAGAGAGAGAGAGAGAGAGAGAGAGACAGACAGAATCTGAAGCAGGTTCCTGGCTCTGAGCTGTCAGCACAGAGTCCAATGTGGGGCTTGAACTCACAAACTGTTAAGATCGTGACCTCAGCCGAAGTTGGAGGCTTAACTAACTGAGCCACCTAGGTGCCCTGAAAGCAACAGATTTCAATGTGTATTTGGAAAATCTAGAGGAGAAGGAGAGGTATAATAATTAAGCAGAGAAGATAAAACTATACCCTAGGCACTTAGAAAGAGATAGAAACTAAAAGCAAAACATTTGGCCTTAGTACACTAAAAAGAACCAAGACCTGAAAAGTACCATTAAAAAAGATGCATGGGGTTGAAAGTGAGCTGAATTAAAATTTGTAGCTGGAACAGTAAAACTCCAAATTCTTCCCCTAGCTTCATTCTTCCAAAAGTCAGAATAAGGCTTCTTCAGAATAAGGATTTCACAGGCAATCCACCTCACTTAAGCATACAATCATTTTACAGGGGTAAATGTAAAAAAAAAAAAATAAATAAAACAAAATCTATACATGTTCAATATTGAGACCTGAGAACTTTTTCCTGGTCCTATTTCTACAATATTGCCATAAAATTAAGGGATTTTTACTGTTGGATCACCAAACAAAACACCAGAGCAGTAAGATTTCTGGACACTGACATTTGGACTGCCCCCCGTTACAAAGCTAGTTTGCCACATGAACATCCTACTCCACAGCAAAGTCTACTAGTCACCAAGAGTTTCTAATCAGTGGGTTTTTTTTGTTTTGTTTTTGTTTTTTGGAGTGAGGGAGGGGCAGAGGGAAAGGGACAGAAAGAATCTTAGGCAGACTCCATGCCCAGCGCAGAGCCTAATCTGGGCTCTATCTTAGAACCCTGAGATCATGACCTGAGCTAAAACAAGAGTCGGATGCTTAACCAATGGAGCTACTCAGGCGTCTCTCTAAACAGTTTTAGTGTTTCCTTCAAACAGATAAACAATAAGGATCACTAAGTAAGTATCCAAAGAAATCCTCCAATTTGAAAGAGAGACCAGAGTTTAAAAAAAAAAAGAAAAAAAAAGGAACTTGAAGAAAATTTAAGTAAAGGAGATAACTACCGTCCTCAAAGGGATCAAAAGACATCTATTCATTAAATAACAGTCCTTAAGAAAGCAATCAGATGATAATAAAAATCTTGTGTGGCCCATTTAAAATGGGATATGCTTTTTAAAAAATGTGATACATTAATC